TCACTTCTTCGACGACTTAGGCCTTGTAGCAGTTTGAGCAGTCGGCACTTTGGGGGGAGGAGCAGGAGTTTTCGATGTTTTAGCTCCAGGTGCTCCTTTACCTAGCTTCGATGCCTCAGCCTTAGATGTAGGACCAGTCTTCGACTCCGTCTTCTTCGCCTCAGTCTTAGGTGCTTCCACCTTCTTGCCATCCACCTTCGACCCCTTCGCCGACGCCGACGCCGTCGCTGTCGCCTTCTTAGACTCAGGCTTCGGTGGTTCAGCCTTCTTAGCCTCGGCACTCGACACCTCCACCTTCTTGGCCTCAGTCTTCGGCGCCTCTGACTTCTTCGACGAAGCAGCTACCTTTGGCACCTCAACCTTCGCCATCTCCTTAACCGCCTTCGCACTCGGTTGGGTCGCAGCCGCAGCAACAACACCCAACAACATCTTCTTCCTGCGCTCCACAAGACGCTCCTCTCGGCGAACCTTCGCCTCGCGCTTGCGTTGACGCATCGCCTCTGCCTGATCACTCAACTGCTTGGCTCGAAGACGCTCCGACTTCTTCTTATGAATGTGGTCGATAAGGATGCGCTTGTTCTTAAATATATTACCCTTGCACTGTTGGTACAAGTGGTGGTACCTAAACGACACCAATACCAACATCATGAACACATCTCACGCACGTTACAGCGCCAATAAGACCATTCAATAAACTCACAAGTGCTTATCAATCTTGTGAGAGGCCCTATAACGCTTCAGAAGGCGACGCAGGACGCGCATCCTGCGCATCCAAAGCACCTTCTGAGGCATACGTGCGTCGGCCGTTCCTCTCCTCTTCCCCACGCCCATGTGTCGACCAAGGCGCCGAGCGATGAGCTGACGTCTTGCACGTGAGCGTGAATGCACAGTCACGGGTTTCCTTATTATCAAATTATCCTTGTACAGCTTGCGAATAAGCTTTCTAGAATTAGCCGACGCGATGGTCGAGTTCTCATTCGGATCCAGCCAGATTTTCTTCCGACCACATCCCAGAACAGCGGCGGCAAGCCGCTTCTGACATTTCAGCTGGCTACAAGTTTACATAGGTTCACGTCAGCTGAGTGTTTAAAAAACAAACAAACAAAAAACACTCAAGAAAGTAGACTCACCTCATTCCAATTTATCGTAAATGGCACACTCCTAAGTATGGTGGCTCCTTTAAACAACGCTCACTGTGAAAGTGGTCTAAGCGAACACAACTGTCTTGTGCAGGTCTACCCACCATAATGAATTCCTGAAGATGCAATATTAACCACGACTCTTTCAACGTACATAGGCATTTATAAGAGTAATTTCGCACAA